ATTGACTTTTCATTGTTTATTTTTTTCGATTTTAGAATTGAAACGATTTGGTAATATTAGACTGGTTTACATACTTAAATTATCAGGTTCTTTACCAACTAAAGTATAATTATTTTATTTTACATCTTAAAATTAGAGAAGCCTTCACCAATAATAAAGCTTTTTATAATGTTGTTGAGTAATTTAAGTTACTCTAAGTTTTCGTAATATAGAACTACTGACGCTCAGAGTCAGATATATTGTCCAGCAAAGAAGAGTTACGGTTCCCTAAGATTTCAGTAAACTAATTTTAATTTTACTTATTTAATTTAATTATTATATTGCTTGGTCTCTACCAATGCGGATTTATACAAGGAAGATCTACGACAGACCAAATATTCTGCCTCAGAACAATCCTAGAGAGATGAAACGAACATCAGATTAAAACCCGCCGTTTTTCGTTGACTTTAAGGCAGCTTACGATAGCATTAACCGGAAAGAACTGTACAAGGTTTCAATATCCCAGATAAGCTAATACGACTGGTGAAGCTGACCATGACGGATGTAAAGTGTAATGTGCAGGTTGGTGGTCAAAGGACAGAAGAGTTCTCCCCAACAAAAGGACTTCGCCAACTTGATGCGTTACCATGCCTTCTGTTTAACTTGCCACTTCAGAAAGCAGTCAGGTATTCTGGTCTGCAAACTAATGGGATGATTTACAACCGGATGGTTTGGCTATTAGTCTATACGGATGATGTGGACATCGTGGGGCGGTCGTTTCAATCTGTTAGAGACGGACAAGTGCCAAACTTTGCTCAACTTTTAATGATCAATATGTCGTTCTGAGGATGAAGCTTGGAAGATTGAGATGGACTGGCCATGTGGCAAGGATGGAGAATGAAGCAATCCCTAGGATGATCCTGACAGAACCTGTCTACGACACAAGAGGAAGAGGGAGACCAAAACTAAGATGGTCAGACGGTGTCGCAAGAGATTCAAGGGATGTCCTGGACGTCAGGAGCTGGATGATGACGGCACAGAACAGAAATGACTGGAGGAAACTGGTGGAGGAGGCCAAGACTCGTCACCGAGTTGTATCGCCGTGATAATTATAATTTAATTATTTAAAAATTCCAATCATACAATTTTGACATAAAATAAATTTTAGATATGATAATACCAGACGAAGAACACTTTTAAAATGCTTCATTTTTTCAAACAGAAAAAGTTAAAATATAATGGATGTTATGATATAGTTTGCATGCTAATGAAAAAATAAGTGATACAAACTGCATTATATGGTGCAGGTACATCGAAAGCTTCTGTAGTTTAAGGTACAAAATAAAATAAATTATACAGAGACCATCGAACAATTAATGATAATTGTTGAAAATTTTGATTGGGGATTATACTTTTATTTTCTTTATCGATTTGTAATTGAAAATAATAAATCAATAATCGCATGATATAATTTCTTATATTTCAGTCATCATCATTAGAAAGATAGTATATTTTCCTGTTATCTATTTGATATGAATTGTTCACCCATTAAATCAATTTAAATAGTACTAGTGGGTCTGAAAATAAACAGCCCTTTCCGTTTGCTTTAACCTCTCCATTAATATATGGTTCAATGAGTTATTCAGTTTTTTTCGGCGAATCATATCCTCTGGAAGAGTTAAACTTTTTTTTCCTTTTTTAGATATCATTGAATAATTGATCTCTTCCCCTCAGTCATCACATTTTACTGACTCAGAGCTTCAACTCTATTATCGACGGAGTTCGTGTTCCAATTGACAGAGTCTACGGTTTTTATCATACAGGATTTATATACCAACGGAACTTCACTAGTAGGTTAATATTAACCTTTTACTGTCTTTGTATGAAGTAAACCACCTTTTTTGTAGATGGTTATATCTGAAATGAGCATCTTTTCGCCTCTTCATCCAATGGTTTTATCCTTTTTGTCCGATTTATTTTTATATAGGTACCGTTAAATAAATTTAAAATGTTGCCTAGAATAGTTAATTAGTTCAGTAGAACTAATGTCTCGTAGATTTAGTTGCCAATGACTACAAATGACTTTTGGTTTATTATTTTCCATAATGAACCTTAGTAATCTTCCGAAAAAATCAAAAATTTAACTCCTTTAACAATAATTTAATAATTTATTAAACTAAAATTAAAGATTTTGCGTTTCATGTCATAACTCATAAATCGAAGGCAGATTTTTATGGAAGATAGTTTTCTTATGTTATACGGAAAGTGATGTTACTTTTGATACATAATTGTTTAGAAATAATAAACTAATGTGTAATAACTTATGAAAACAAACATAAACTTTAATTTTTAATTGATTCTGGATATTATTATCGTTTTTTAGTGTACATTGAAAAAAAATAATTACAATTTTCTTGACATTATTTAAATTAATTATGTTTATATATGTTTAAAGTAGTATTTACGAAGGTTAAATTTTCTAAATGATTTCGGAGACTTATTAGAATAAAACTCTGTTCCTTTTAATCATTTTAAATGTCTACATTGCAGTACGAAACGTTTGTCTCCATGTTTTAAAATTTATAATATTATTATTTTTTGTGAATGTAAATAAACTTTTCAAAATAGATTTTTTAAAAATATTAATCTATCTTCTTCTTTTAATTATTTCGTTAATTAGTACCGTCCGGTTAACCCGATTGATTGGAATTGATTAATGTTTCAAGGTCACTACAGACAACAATAGAATCGAAGTTGAATATAGAACCGCTATAATGTGCCAGGCATAAGTGTGTACGTTCTTCGCAGTTTTTATTTGTTGACTGTCAAGGGCATTTCAGCAGCTCCGCAAGAGAAACAATAATAAAAAAGGTTAAACTTTTTTTGAATCCGTCACTAGTCTTGCTTTTGAGACTCGTTTGAAAATTTCTATGATTATCTAGAAACAGCTAGGAGAACAAAACATATTATTTTTTATTAATACTAAAAAAAAAATAACAAATACATGCGTTCATTATACTGATAGGTACTCATAAAGTGTTTCAATATTTCTTCCTTAAAACAATTAATTATTAATAGAATATTTTTAAATAAGTAACTTTCCTATAATTTTAATTATAATGTAAATGTAATTTTACTTAATACTTATATAGTAAGGGTAAGTATTGTGATCATAAACATTTTCGAATCTGAGTTTTCAATGTAAATACACTCTTTAAGATCTTCTGAGTCCAAATAACGAAGTCCCACAAAATGATCTGTGTATGTATGTGTCTGTGGGTGTGTATGTGAACAGCCTATCTCAGAAACGAAAATTCGAACAAAATTGCATGTTTGAGATTTATATCAGCCTGGGATGTTAAAGCAACATTTTTATCAAAATCGACATACCGTCGATGGGAGTGGTACTTTATATAATCAATTTAGCATTTTTTTTTTCATTTTCTCAAAAACAGCTCTAACGATTTTGATTAGACTCAGTAGATCAGTGTATTATTAAGCAGTTTTTAATATAATGTAAGCTTTATTCTCATTGATGTTCTCTAGCATGGATTAAATGGCTAATTTTCAAAATCAGCTTCGTCTAAAATACCTTTGATTCTGTCTATATGAAATAATTAACGGTTTCACATTAATCTTTGATATAAAAATAGTTAAATATAAAATATGAAAGAATTTGATAATTAACTAAAAGAGAAATAAAAGATCGTAACGGATAATAGTTGTAATGGAGGAAGCTCACCCGAGCTAGCCCGAAAGATTAGAACATACTTTCATACGAAACATGAGCTTAATATAATACGGACTCGGACTATATTATGCATATATACATATAGGGTTTTCATAAATGTTATCGTTGGTATCATTTAATATTTAATTGTATAGATTACAGCGATATAAAAATTGAAATTTGTGTATACAAGGGTAATCAAACAAATAAAAATACTCACAAAGAAATGCAGATAAATATAACGTCTATAATATTTACCTTCACTTCCCCTTTGTCTGAAAATACTTATTTCTGCTAAGAAGAGGGTGGTAAGTGAAAGTCGTGTGATGCACGCACCAGATTTGTTTTATTTTACATTTGATACTACAAAACATTGTGCAATGAAAAGAATATATAGCCAGCGGACTTTTTATTATTTAGTTAAATAAATTATAATTCGAATAGATATAAAATATGGTGCCAACAGAAAAGTTATATACAATGATAGCATATTTAAAATCTCATACATTAGCTTACAAAATTTATTATAAATCTTATAAATGGTGTCTATAGGGATACAATTATAAGGCCATACAATTATTCTATTTATTCAATTTTTACCAACTGAAGTTATGAAAATCCAACAATTCCATAAATTCCAAAATTATTCTATTCTAATTTATTTCTAGCCTACGAAAATAAAAATCACAAATGTTTCTCGCATTTAATTGGCTTTTTGTACATTGCATATCAATCCGAACTCTGCATTACCTTCTCTTACTATTGTTTAATATATATTTAAATTTTTGGAATTTATAGAATTGTTAGTGCCCTTGAAAAACTTTCTACCAAAAAACTTATTATAATTATTTTCATCAAGAATACCACCTGGATATATATAAAAACAAAATATTAAAAATAATCATCAGGTTGTTTATTAGTTTAATAAGATAAATAACCTGTTACGGATATGGACGTTACTAAATCTAAAAATTGTTATATATTGACCTATTTTTCCATTTAAGGCTAGGATTTATAATTCACAAATTCGTAATCAAAATCTCATCACGATCATGATCGCATTATTTGGCCTCACTATCACACCAACCAATCGTCTGGTCAGTCAGAATTATTTTGACACAATTATTCTATATGATAAAAGATTTTTTTCTTTTTAATTCTTCATGAATATCTTTTATTCCATATTGGCACCATATCGAAGGCTAACTAATCTAATCTCTGTTGATACATATTGTTTTTCAAACGAGCATTAGTTGTTGTTGATATCTGGCTTTCTCAGTGCTGAGCCATCAGTTTCAGCCTGAGCTCATCTTAGAGTTGTGGTCAGTGAGTGTGGTGATTAATATATATTTATTTAGGATACAAATCCTTTAAAACGAGTGAGTAGCTACATTAAGTTTGTAGAATATGAAGTCTTATAGGAAATTAATGCTAATTTCCTAAAACTGAAGTTTATTTTTGTTATTATAACATACCGCATTATTATTTTGGTCATAAACATGTAAGATAAAAAAATTCGCAATTTCATTTGTGTGAAATGTAATATTGATTAAGAGCCTTTTTTAATATTACCATAAGATCTACATGGTCCGTAATGCCAACAGAAAAAAAAGTTACTTTACAGGCAGATCTATGGGGTAGAAGCTTTTGGACTGAAGCTCCCTCCCGAAAATGTTAAAATATAACCATGTGTTACGAAAAAAATTATTTCTAATAGTAATATTTTTCGTGTAATTACCTTTAATGTAACTTTAAGAATAACTTGACATACCTCTTATATTCTTTCTCTTCCTTCCAAAATAATTATCGTTTTATATATTTAAAAAAAAAGCTTTCGGACCGTATCCTCTCCCCGCTTCCTTCTCCCCCCCCCCCAAAAAAAAAAAAAAAAAATCTTGGATCCCTAAGTGAGTTACAAAAACGTTAAAAATAATCTCTAAAAGTATTATTTTTCGTATAATTACATTTAATAGGACTTCGAGAATAACTTGAAATATCAATTATATTTATTATAAGAATTAAACTGACTTCCTCTAGCATTAAATACTCCACCACTAAAAGAAGACTGAATCTCTAAAATTCACTAAATTTAATGTGGTTTATATAACATCAAGAAACGAAAAAGTAATTAAAATAAACAAGTAAAAAAGTTAGGACGCAATATTTGTTTTATTTTTCTAACCATTATTTTATTTCAAAGGTAAACAGTGTGAATGTTTCTTATTGATAATTTTAAGAATTCGTCATTATGAGCTGCGAATTTCTCATATGAGCCGTTATAGGCAAAAGTAGTATAAGTCATTTGAATAATAAACAATTAATTAATGATAAAGTGTATTGGACTTCAGGCTTTTAAATAGCCAAGCTAAGAAGTATTATTTAAAAAATAAATAAATACACTGTTATTACTGAATGAGTCTTCCAGTTGACAGGATGACTAACTCCAATTTCAATATTTTTGAGTAAAGTAATTTTAGTGATATTTCTAGTTGACAAATTTATAATATCTGTACAGACAGTGAGTAATTCGTTTCCAGAGTAGATGATTAAAGTATTCTCATAAAGAAGTGTGGATAAAGGTATAAATTTTCCCATTAGAAATATCAATAAAATTGAGAATGAAAAAAGTTGAAATTTGAGTTAGTCATTCTATCAACTGAAAGGCTCAAATAAGAAATACCTTCCATTTGTCTATACCTAATTTATATAAAACTTTCCATGAGATATAAAATTTCTCAAAATCTTCACCTCCTTTATTCTCAACGTCCCAGTCCCACATATTTTATTTCCCTAAGCCTCGAAATTAGCTTTGTACCAAATGAGGTCCTGTGACTCTCCAATATCCATGATTATAGGTATCGTTAGATTCGAAATTCCATGATTAACTAATTTAACATTCTGCTTTTGTTTTGGGGTTAAAAATGAATGCAGTTGATCTAAACATATTTTATGGCCATGAACTAGGACAGTGGTACGTCGGCAGGTCAACAGGAGAAAAATTATGATTTGAAGATTTATTAAGCCCTAAATCTACTATTTTCGAGATAAATCATGTTTCTTAGGTCCAGTTGCCCCAACTCAGTAAAGTTTAGATTAAGCGTTATCTAATACTAAACCAAGTTTTCTAAGATTGACGGATCAAAATTAAACTTGGTTTAATCTTAGATAATGCTTAATCTAAGGTTTACTGACTTGAAGCAACTGGTCCTTAAAGGGTTTTCAGTCGCACAAGTTCACTTTAATTGTAGTGTTGCCATCGGATGTCGCATGTTGCATGTCGTTGGTGAATGAGAGACGGGGTGATGCGTGTCCGTAACAGATATATAATTTTATGATGATCTCATATATGATATTATTAGCCTTATAATAAGCAACTGAAATGTTCCTCGAAATGTGTGCTTTTCTGATTATCTGAAAACCTAATTGAACCATTTTTTCTTCATTGCCGAAATGAAATGGAATCTCTGTAAATAGTAGGAAAAATAGTTAGGAATAAAAACTTAACTGAATTTCGTGTTGATTCTACCTATAATCATTGTTAATATTTCAAAATGCCACATCAAACTAAGAAAACCATTGAAGTCGGACCATTATTAATAAGGCCTATTGACATTTTTTCCACACGTTCCTGCTTTTTGTTTTCAATAATAAACCGTTAGAAAACGAAATGCATAATTCTTTTTTCCAATTTACTAACTTTTCAGAGAGTGATTTATTCCATTACTAATACCAAATATTGCTATATTTCTTTTATGAACTTAAAGTTACTGTTTTCGTTTTCTAACATTTCTGCAGATGTTAAATTTAAAAAATGATAAAATTTTAGCTGTCTTAAATTTATTTTAGTCATAAAATGACTCTTTGGCTGGAATACATTGTCTCGAAAAACATTGAACCTTTTTCAACTCTAAATTAACCTCTTTATTCTTGAGAAATTTTATAGAACACGTTTTCGTAATTCTAATTAAGGAAAGTTGCGTGATGAATAAAGAACGAACACAGAAGTATTCGTTTTTACAGATGTATTTCTACCATTCCTGTATCACTCTATCTTGGGTAGTTGAGGAAGCAATAATATGCAACAGACTATTATAGGATTATAAATTATACCCATAATTTAGACCAGTGACTTATCAGAAACAGATTTAGATAATGCTCTGAGCAATAACAATCATGATATCATCTAATGTCATGCCATAAATTACCCAATCGGCGTATCTGTGTTTTGTAGAAGCATTCGCCACTTGGTTTAATTATTGATAGTATTTTAATTAAGTAATTTACAAATTGAGGAACCAAAACTAATTATATTAATTTTAAAAATACGCTTTACTGGAATGATTTATCATGATTTTTTTTTTTCAACCTATCATTTTATACGATACCTGAAATCATACATTGTTTATTTTCAATTTATGAGGTTTTTCTTCAAGTTGGATGTTTTATATGTGGATTATATGTTACTCAAACACGATGTTGTAACACCAATGAAATTTATTTCATGGGTAACTGTAGTAAAACGATGGAAAACATACAATTCATGAGCAAAATTTCTAATCCAAAATATATTAGTGTTAAACTTCCAGTTTTTGGCACCTTCAAGGCAACTTTAAAATGTGTTTGTTCCGTTCTCAATCGTGTAGGTAATTGGTTTAACAATTTTGAACCTATTAAATCAGCAAAGATCTCTAATTTCAAAATATAAATGTGAAACAGTATCTTTTATTTATTATTGTATTATGAATGGAAAAATTTCCCTATGCCTGTCTGGCCTGAGACGCCCTGGTGTGTACATCGGTGTAATTCGTTCATATAATCTCTCAGTTTACTTCAATTTAATTTTCAGTGCAGTTAAGTTCAGTTTTTTTTTTCTCTTCTCTTTTTTAAAAAACCACTATAATTAATCACGCTATTAAGTGTCGGATCTTCACACCAATCGGAGTAAAGAAAGCGCAGCGAGATTGATAGAGTTCTGGGAGCAACGAGCTGGCAGGCGTCTACTAATCCTAACAGCATTAGACCAGCATTAGACGTTGTTTACTACCGTCAACAGTCTTGGTATTTATTTATATTTTAATTGCGAAGTAATTCTCATTAATAAATTTAAAAAATGGTGCAGTGTAATATTTGCAACAACTCTATCGCACGCGAAGATAAGAACAATATACACTGCGTTAAGTGTAAAATAATTTTTCATGGTAGGTGCGTCAACCTTACTGATAAAGACTCCGAAGCATTAAAAATAATTAAAAAAACATGGGTTTGCTCTAACTGCGAACAGGTGAAAAAACAAAATAACGAGCCGTCCCCCTCAGAAATACTTGCGGCAGTAAACCGTTTAGACGCTACCGTGAACGAAGATATAAAAAACATGAAAACAGCACTAGATAAATACGGAGAGCTCAGTTTTGAACTAAACGAAAGACTGACGAAGATTGAAAAACATCTGGAAGGTCAAGCTAAAAAATTTGAGGAGATACTATTAGAAAATAAAGCACTCAAATCCCGAGTGGGCGAATTAGAGGTTCGCTTGAATAACGCAGAGCAAGGACTATTGAGTAGATCACTGGAGATCCGCGGTATACCGGAGCGACCGGGCGAAACGCCCGCTGCTTTGGTGACCAGTATAGGAGCAAGCTTGGGGATCAGGCTTAGTGTGGAGGACCTGGACAACGTACATCGCCGCAGAAGCCGAAAAGATGACTCGCGACCACCGCCTGTTATCGCACGTTTTGTCAGGCAATCAATTAGAGATGACTTAATTACGAAAAGGAAAGTGAAGAGGGATTTCTCCACGCGGGATATCGGTTGGCAGGAAAATGACTGCCACCGAATTTATCTGGGTGAAGAGATGACTCGCACAAACAGACACCTCTATTGGTTAGCCCGGCAGAAGAGAGCGGCGGGAAAAATCAAATATACGTGGTTTGCTTCCGGAAAGGTGCGGTGTCGAAAAGAGGACGGACATAGAGTCATCCTGATAGAACAGGCCTCGGATCTAGATGTATTTGACTGACTACCTAGAAGCCGTCAACCCCTTAGCCTCATTAAAATAGTCTTACTTCTTCTCTTAGTGCTATCTCGACACCGTCACTCACCAATCTATTTATTTTTAAGTACATTCTCTTTATTTATTTTTAATGTTAATATTACTTTTTCTTCATTTAGTTTTATGTACGATAATCGCTTTTCTGTACTTTCTACTCGTTTTGTCTTCTCGCTACCAAACACTGACTGTTTCTCTCCAAATCCACTGTATGTCTAGTTCCCTAATCACATGTCAAGTTAACTCTCAATCACTTTCTGCCCATTATGACGAATTCCTGCAATACTTTACCCAAAACTTTTATCATATCATAGCAATATCCGAAACCTGGCT